TTGATGCTAATGGTATCTTGAATGTTTCCGCTTTGGAAAAAGGTACTGGTAAGACTCAAAAGATTACAATTACCAACGATAAAGGAAGATTATCCAAAGACGAAATCGAAAGGATGGTTAACGAAGCTGAGAAATATAAAGAAGATGACGAGAAGGAAGCTGCTAGAGTTCAGGCCAAGAATGGATTGGAATCTTATGCTTATTCATTAAAGAATACTATCAACGATGGTGAGTTGAAAGATAAGATTTCTGCAGAAGATAAGGAGAAACTATCGAAAGCAATTGACGAAACCACTTCTTGGTTGGATAGCTCGCACTCTGCATCAACTGAAGAATACACAGACAAACAAAAAGAATTGGAGTCTGTTGCAAACCCAATCATCAGTGGTGCTTATGCTGCAAGTGGTGGTGCTGGTGCTGGTGCTGGTGGTATGCCCGGTGCTGGAGGTTTCCCTGGTGGAGCCCCAGGCGGTGGATCAGCCCCAGGCGGTGCTTCATCTAGTGGCCCAACTGTGGAAGAAGTTGATTAGATTCATGGCTTTATTGTGCAATAATATTAATGTAAGTTCTGTTTCTTTTTTTTGGTTTTTGTTTAAGAAGTTCGAAACGTGGTTCTTTCTTTCTTTCTCTCTCTCTCTCTAACTAACTAACTATCTTTCTCTATATGTATTCACTAGCTATACAGAGTAGGCAACCAGCAACCCAGTTGCCTATTAAAATGGATCCGATTTTCCTATCAAGCACCCACCCATTTCGCGAAACGCCAATACACAATACCAGCATGTTCCAAAACAATGTAAGAAAACCAATGGAAAGAGGTTTGGTTATTTTCAAATAAAGATGATCACCGCCAATAATTAGTCCATTCAACCCCAATGAACATAACGCAAGCAATGGTCCACCAAAACACGCTGAAAATGCCATAATTGGAAAACCCATACGAGCAACTGCGTAGTTTGTTGCAAAGTCTCCAACTGAATTCCCTACGGCAAATAATGTAATTCCTAATATATCATCGCTGAGATTATACACTGTTGATAGCACTTGTAGAATATTGATTATCTCCGAAGCTATAATTGAAATCCATGTAATTGGTACGAAAAATCCTAGAAATGATGCGAAATAATTTATCCACTCGATGCGTTTCGCAAATGATGAGCTTGATTCAATAGTAGGGGGGTATAAGTAGTAGCACGCGTAAGAAATAAATGCAGAAATTATTGGCAGTATGAGAAACGGTAATTTCGTGTAGGATGAAACTAGAATTGTAGAGCCAATAAATGTCTGGACTATTAGTAGACGCCTGTCACTTGAATAGTCAAACAATTCGTCAACTGGCTCTGTCTCTGTATCGGAGGAGGATTTCGAAAAACTTCTCACTGGAATGGATAATTTTAGTAGAATTCGAATTGGAAGTTGCACTATGATTAAGACTCGTTCTAAAAGGACCTTTTCGTTAAAATTATTGTACAACTCTGGGCAGATAATGCTCACCAATTTACTCCAATCATCGTGATCATCGTGATCATCGTGGATGTTTCCTGATAAATCTGTCGACAATGGTCTTTCATCGCTCAATTGAATTGTTCCTGTTAGATTTGAATATGTAGATAAGTCTTTCATCAATTTCTTCAATCCGTAGTTTCCAATATTATTAACATCATTATTGTCCATATCGTCTGAAAACAAGTTTTCTCTTCCTAAATCAATATCGTCTATCGTAGGTAATCGTGCCATTCTATCAAGATAGATGTCATCAATCTGCTGGTTCAAAATACCACTTCCAATACCACTTCCATCTCCAGCTCCACCTCTAATTCCAGCCTCTGCATAGTTTCCCCTTAATCGTTGATCACGCAAAACAGCTTGGACTCTGGACTTTTGCATTCGATGTGAATAAATAGCAATTGTGACATAAATAATATATATAGTGATCAATGCAACACATACTGGCCACTTCAATTGTTGCGAGACCAAACTTATCGTGATTAGTAAATAAACCATTAGGTACATAATCACATCTGTACCAAAAAGTGCCCGTGGTATTTCAAATGGTTTCATAACACCTATACAACCAACAACAAAACTACTCACAAACAACGAGGCACCGATCAATTCGGAGACTGCCAAGTTTATCAGATCAATTTTGATGGCTTGGTAAGTACTAAAGATATCCGGCGAACTATTACCAAATGCTAGTAGTGTCAACCCAGCTAGATTATCGGGGATTTTCAAATATACTTTTGAAACTGTATGCAAGTTGGGACATAGGTAATCCAGTGCCGTGATACCCAATGAGAAAAACAAAATGATTAGGGAGATCCCTATTGGAACCAAACCAAAACCAAAACCGTTAAGGAATTTGAAGTGACAATAATATAGACGATAGTAATTGATAATGCTTTCCTGTTCCTTGCAGTGTTCTTTCACAAATTGGCATTGTTCAAGAAAAGGTTGGTTGGTTACCTCAGAGCACTTACTTTGCAAGCTCGAGTTCTCACTACCTTCAAATGCATTTATTGCAATATCATTTCCAGTATCCGGAAATGCCAGTAGAGCTAACGGGAAACCCAAAACATAAAGTAGTAATACTAGACACTTTACCATAATCTTTGGTATTTTCAAGATAAGACATAAAGTGCAAAGTTTTTTTCTTACTAAATCTATAATCAAACTTGGTAAATACAGAATCAATTTGAAGAAGTGAATAAAAATAGAGCATCACTAAAAATAGACTATCACCAAAATTAGACTACCACCACATCTTCACTACAAAATAGAAAACATGTACCATTGATCATTGCACCACCTCCCATACGGACGCACGAAGGCAAAATCCTTAGAAATGAAACAAAAGTTCATCCAACAGATGAAGTGCTGCACCCAAGATCAATTGTTAACTTTTACTTTCCAGTCCATCGCTAAAGAAAAAGCTTCGAAAAAAAAAAAAGAAAAAAATTCCAATTTTTTTATCAAAGAGTTCTACAACAATATTCGAAATGGTCATGGGTCGAGAATGCCAAAACTATGGATTCAACCTCAAAAGAATGCTTTTACGTTGTGGATGGCTGTGAAATTTTGCGTTAAAGAAAGAAAGAAAGAAGAAAAGAAAAAGAAGTAGAAGTTGTATGCAATTAATTTGGATTGTTTTTTTCACTTATATAGTGAGCGATGAGATGAGATGAGATGAGGTGACAAGTACACGACCCATAGAGTATGTTTTGTAGTAGAGAGCAGAGAGGAGAGGAGGCAGATGTAGCAGATGTGGCAGAGAGTAGATTTAGCGGAGAGCAGATTTAGCGGAGAGCAGATTTAGCGGAGAGCAGATTTAGCGGAGAGCAGAGGCTTACACTTTCAACTTGTTTTATCAATTGTTCGATTTGCGTATCTATATACAAGATGAGATGGCGCTGGAGCAAAAATCAGAGTAGTGAGTAGTTATCTCTACTCTTGTCTCTCTTTCGACTAGACTCGCTTTGCTCGTCTAGTCATCAGATTTACTCTTCAATTTTTGCCAAAATCTCTTTATCAGAGAACAACAAAAACTCTTCATCTCCAACTTTAATTGGATTTCCACCAAAGGAAGGTAACAAGACTTTATCACCTGGAGCTACAGAAACTGGGATGACTTGTCCTGTAGTTGCATTGGTTATACCAGGTCCCGTAGAAATAACTGTAGCCTGGTTCAATTTCTCTTGGTTCTTCTCTGGAATGTAAAGACCACTTGCAGTTTTAGTAGCTGGCTTTAATCTTTGAACCAAGACCCTGTCAAACAAAGGTCTCAAAGCTTGAGCAGATTTCAACAAAGATGACTTTTGCATAAATTGTTAGTCAATCCCAATTCACACAACTCATTACCTACAAGGTTCCTTGTTTTGCACATACCATTTTGCTGTGTTCTTTTTTTTTTTCTTGTAGTTACTGGTTAGCGAAATGGTGAATTAAAACTATACTATACAAGCTTTTGATTCCTTATGTATACTTTTTTTTTCTCACCATCATGGAATGCGCTAGAAAAACTCATTTGACTTAATGAGCCAAGCACGACCCGACACGACCAACACGACACTATCGAGCGAAGCGAGATAGTGGAATAGCACTGACTGACACTATCGAGCGAAGCGAGATAGTGGAATAGTACT